GCATGCGTAGTTTATTCAGAGCACTTATCGGCAAGGAGCCAGTCGATAGTCCACAATATATGGACTTCTCGATGGACGAGACCGGAGCGGTATCTTGGCTTGCGCCATGACCCTCAATCTCTTCAACTTCATGCAACTTTTCGAGATCCAGCTCTCTTCTCTTTTGTTCTCCTCTGAACCCGATGAGGAACATGAAGGCGGTAGCAGCGATCGTCGAACCATTGAAGATGAGTGCCTGTTTCATGTTATTTGGAGGTGTGGCGTCCGGTCCTGCACGCAATGCGTCCATTACCAAAACCCAGATAAAGGAGAAGAGGTTGACGCTGAGAAAAAGAAAGAGAAGATTAGTACTTTTGGCATGGAATGTCGCCTTATCGAACGTACTTGAACCATAGAAGGCCACAGGAGCCTTCGGCATTTCGGGTTACTTCTGCACCGAGTTCCAGGCCGATAGGGAGAAGTAGGAACGAGCAAATGCCAATAATGGCCATCACTGCGAAGATGGAACCATCATTGTTAGGCTTGGCGTTCCATATATGGGAGATCCAGCAAGCAGAAATAGTGGGCAAAAAGAATCGGACTGCCCATGGAAGATTGCGCCCAAAGAGTCGTCCTAGCAAGGGCGCACCGATAACGGCCGAGACGATACCAGAAAGCAAGATGGTAGCATCGAATAATCCGACTAGAGATGTTACGGTCAGTTTCGACTCAATTGTATGATGTAATAGAGTCACCTCGTGTTTGTGTATATCCATGAGGACCAAACTTTTAATAGATTAGGATATACTCGCAAAACTGACGATGATATGCTTACTATTTGATTCCCGAAATTCGACCATGTGGAGGTGGCGGCGCAGAAGACACCGAATACCATGAAAATGAGGAAGAAGTCGATCCTATCTCTAAAGTCCATATATTGTGGACTATCGACTGGCTCCTTGCCGATAAGTGCTCTGAATAAACTACGCATGCCAGGCGGCTTGGTAGAACCAGAGAAAGTTGGTGGAGTTGGCGGCTGCTCTTGTAGAAGGAACCCAAAGGGGAATACCGCAGTAGCAATGAATGCACCGATGAGAATCTTCAGGTTGTGGTCAGTGGATGAATGGCAGCCGACACACGTGCCTACTCACCGCCCACTTGGTATTGGCAGCCTGGGGCAGCACCAAGGAGGATATAGCACCTCCCAAAGGATTCGCTAAGGATAAATTAGTAAACCATACCAAGTAGTTGTGTGCTGATTCTCCTACATATATTAGTCAACATGGTAGAGACCACACGTCCTGGAACATCGAACCAGAGTTCAGAGTATCGGACGGTTATGATCTGACAGCATCCTTGTGCGAACGCTACACATATTTGGGCGAGCATCAGGATTGCAAATTTGCCATCTGGGGAGAGCTTGGGCGCGATTGAGGCCACCCTGATCCAATTGGCGAGCAGAAGCCAAACCCCGCCAAGAAGGATCTGTTATCACATTGTCAGTCACAAAAGGATTACCACCGCATCGATACCTTACCGTTTTCTTTATTCCAATCTTCTTCGTGATATGGACGGTCAGGAACGTCGCCGGGAGATAGACTAGGTTCACGATATTGCTTTGAGGATGTAAGCTCACGACATAAAACCTGTAAGAAGACTGTACCTTGTCCAATTTATTCTTGTTAGCGAAATGTTCCATTCCTCGTGTACTGGTTAAACGGTTAGCCGGACCCTGTGCTCAAACTGACGCTACTAACAAGATCTGCACGCATAAAACGTAGGGTCAGCGAGTGTCTATCGGAGAGGTGGTGAACGTACGTAGTGATTGGGCCAAAGAACTGGCCGTTCATACCACTAATCACATTATAGAGAACCTGTTACAGCGACGAACATCAGCGAATCTTCCCACATAGTGCAGAAATTGTTTGCTAGAACGTACCAGAGATACGATACCGAGCCAACGCCGTTTGTATAACTTATAGACCACCGGGGTCGAGAGCTCTTCCAGATCGGCAGTGCGATCGCCTCGCTCCACCTCCACAACTTCCTTGACCTGTTTTTCAGGCTCCTGGATGTCTTGATCGACTTTCTGGGACATGATAGTCGGGAAGGATAGGCGTTGACAGAGACCAAGATAGCAGATGGAGCTTTGCCGGTTTCTCTTGCCAACTCTTTTTTCCTGGATATTGAGTGCAGCACGCGCGCCCAGTCGTCTGAGGACACCGAAGGCGGCCAGTGATGAGTTTGGACGATTCCTGGATGCTAAGGAACGATCATACCGTTAGCTCTTCTGGTCCCTCTCCCACGCAACTCCATTTAGAGGATAAGCCGGGAGCTGTTATGCCTTCCGATTATCACGGTTGGCGGTAACAACGGACGTCAATCGAATGGGCCGCTGAGCTTAACCCTTGGCTCTCTCTGCAGGGTTGAGCATTCGCTAAGAGGCTCGATCTGGCTCAATTGTCAAAGCATTTGGCCATTTTCGGCCCGATAGAAATCTGGGAGGAGGTAGTGCGGCTCAACAGTGGGGATTGTGGACCGCCACTTGACGTTCTTCGGCCTCTCTCACCAATCACAATCTCTGTCAACAATCGAAGATACCGCTGTAGATGTATGGTGTTCGACGATGAGCTGCAAAATAGATTGCGCACATTGTCCACAAGCATCGAACGATTCTATCAGCAAATTGAAGGCGGCCTTGCTCATCAAGGGAGACTCGTGAAGGACATGAAGCTAGAGTATAATGAAATTATGGATCAGCATTATCGTGACGATAGTCTAGTCTATCCTGATCCATTAGAGGCTCTGCCACCAGAGATTGGTCTGATGATCCTTCACAAAGCCCTGCTTGGATTGGTTGCAAACTGTTATGCTATAAACAGCACCTTCCTCCTTACACTGAAACTAGTATCTAGGAGATGGCAAACCTTCATCTTCGGTGCACCCTCGTTATGGACCACAATCAACATGGACTTCAACAGTCCAGACCTCTACCTCCGTATGGCAACTCACCTCCGACTCTCCCAGAATTCCCCGCTTACACTGGTATTCAGGAGTGAATTGTATGATTGGGGGGCTATCGGGAGTATGCTCAAAGAGCACCACGGACGAATTAAGAGAATAGCACTAGAACGAACACTAAATTCGGATAGCTTCAAGAATCTACTCGAACACTTGTCACCTCTCCCTCAACTAGAAGAAATATGCCAATTTCCGAGAGGGAGATGCTCCCCGTTGGAACATTCATGGAAAACCTTAGAAAGCCACTTAACCCATGTTAATGGCATATTGCTCACTCACGAAATGCTAAGTCACCCCAATGCCCTTTATATACGCACTTTTTCGACAGATGAGAGTCTAGGTGTGATTCTCCCGATACTCGAGACCCTACCCTCTATCGAGGACGTCACCTTGAGAGGGGTGCATCAAGTACATGAATCAATCGCCTTTAAAGGAACCGTGCTTCCAATTCGAGATTTTTCATATTACCAATCCCTCGAATTTCCTTTACAACTGCTCCCTCGACTTGTGAATCTAGTTACACTCACCCTAACACTCTC